GGGGGGGTTGAGGGGGCTGTGTGTATTCGCCTGTCTTTCGAAGCACCGGGCTGTGGGCGGCCGTGTTTCTCGGGTGTGTTATTCAAATGGCGTGCGTGTGTTGTGTTGCTGTTTTTCGTTTGCTGCTGTGCGTACCTCTCATGTTGTTGGTTTATAGCGTTTTCCCACGCAATGAACGTGGGCCAAACCCCACTAGTGTACCCTTCGATCTTCCAGGATTCGTATGCTTGAAGCGTCGTTGTGAGACGTGCGCAAGTAACGGGCGTGCAGAGAGAAAACACTCCGCCGCCGGTTTTTCTTATTTTTTATTTTGGTACTCTTTAATATTACGGGTTTAAGGCAAAGACAACTAGAAGAACAAAACTACATGCAAACTACATGCCGAAGTCTCAACCATAGTACGTCGCCCCATCCTCGCTAGCCGTCCAACCATGGCCAACACGCCTCGCGCGGTATACCCTGTACCCTCGCGTCGGACCAACGACGTTAAGACGAAAGACAAAAAAAAAACACCGAACAACCTGCATGTAGGAATCGAGACGGTGAAATATACGAGAATCACTGAATCAACCAATGTCAAATAGACGATGAGAGAACACAAATAAGCGGAACATGCACTTCGAAGGGAGGAAAAAATCACCGGCCAACCATTGGTGTACCGACACAGTGAAAGACACAAGAATCACCGAATCAACCATGTTGACAGAAAGAGAGCACAAAATAATGGGACGCACGCACCCCGTCGGGAGACACAGATAGCCACATTTCCCTCCCCTTGGTGAGTACTGCAGCTCCAAATAGTTCAACAGCCCCAGAACACTATGAAACAACACGCAGCTCCGTCGCAGGCAGCTCCCGCTACGTGAACAGATGACGCTGGGAAAATGGCAACAAGCCGCCGCAGAACGTGATCAGACCAACAACCACGCGACAGTGGTAAACATCGCTCGTGTCAAAATTTCAGGTCAAAAAAAGCACAGGTGGGAACCGTAGAATTACTCCGCTTCCCGTGTTGCTATACACACCGCTTACCACCCTCCGTCGCCGACATATAAGTTGCTATGCCCCGCCTGCCGTGACGTTAGGCTACAGAAGTCCCACGTTGCTGTGTTGCTCGGCTTGGCAGGTTACTGTACTGCTTTGTATATATATATGCAGAAATTGCATGGTGTCTGTAGCCAATCTGTCTGCGCAAGTCAGAAGTTGCTTACTTGCTTGCGTTGCTGCGCGTTGCCATACACCCCGTCAACAATACCCATCGGCGTAGACATCCAGTTGCTAGACTATACCCTACCTGCCGCGACGGGGATAAGCTAGCAGTTGCTCACTCCGCTTGCCGTGTTGCACTCACCGCCCTCCGACGCAGACGTCAAAGTAAGTGCTATACTCCGCACCTGCTGTGACGGTACCCAAGTCAGTGGTTGGTATAACTCCCATTGCTGCGCGCTAGCGCGACGCAGCGCGGTTCTCTTCGGCCGTCGGTTTCACCAGTTGGATGTTGCGATATTTCCAATTGTTGTGTTGCTTCAACCCCGACTACGCACGCCCTGTACTCCGGGTGCTGTGTTGCTATACACCCCGCTCGCAAAATAGGCAGATAGTCTAGACTAGACTCTAGACTATGCATTGCCATCAATCTATCGCGGTACAAGTCAGAAGTTGCTTTCGTCTACTTCCCATGACTGCGTGCCAGCGCGTCGTTGGTGCCAGTCAGCTTTCGATATACTCTGCTTGCCGTGTTTAGATACAACCCGGCTACACCATCCGTCACTGCAAAATCGGTGTTGCTATATTATCAACTCTGCTCCGCAGTTGGGTGTCGACAGCAACTCAAAAAGCTGGGCCCTTACGGAGGAATGCTGCATTCGTAACAGCTCTAGGTCTTCCTTGTTAGCGGCATTCCCCCGCGCCTCCTCAACCCGAATATCCTCCTTGATTTCCTTGAGCTCTTTGCGGAGCTTGGTGCGTAGGTCGGTTTTCGCCGCCTTGCTTTCTATCCCGTCCTTGGTCTCGTAATATGATGTTGGAGCGTCTGTGTACGCGGGCCCGGAGGACGTGCCCAGCCCGAGTGTGGGTAACATCGTCTCCATCGCGGCCTTCGCCGTACTCGCAATCATATCCGCCTGCCTCTTCTGCTTCTTATCCCGGCCGCTCACGGCCGCGTTCCTCTCCTTCGACTCTACCTTGGCGGCCTTCCGCTTACCGGCGTCCGCGGCAGCACCGTCGGTGCCGCTCTTCTTGTCTCCCGCCCTCTCCACCCCCGTGTTCTCGCTCGCGGTGCCATCCGGGAGCATCTGGTCGCAGACCGCCAGGATGTCAGGGCACTTATCCGTAGTCAGCCCAAAGTAGTACGTGTCCAAGCTTTCTGTATTTTGTGGGGAGATTTGCGAAGGGTGGGCGGGAGGGGGGGAGGACACGGTGAGAATGCACCTCCCTCGTTGTCAACGTTCAATCAAAAACGTCCAGAGAGTCTTTGGCTTCAGCTTAGGCGTTGGCGTAACGCTCGATGCTTACAATAACATGGTGTACATGTGATGGAACGCCCCACCCCCCATTGGGAGGAGGGAGAGGACACACGCAACAGTAATGTACACACGCGCGCTCGTACATTGAAGCGACGTCTTCAGAATCACCTCGGCTACCCGCCAACATGAACAAGGCACCGATGTTGATGCACGACAGAGACAAAATTAGGGGCGGACTACTGTATCCGACTCACCCTTGCAAAAAGAGTACATCTCTGCATTGCTCCCGGACTTTTTGTAGTTGGAGTACATCTCCCCGTGGTCCTTGAACAACTCCGTCCTCATCGTCGTGAACTTCTGAAAGGTGATGTCCGGCTGATGTACGGTGTTGGGGTTAATGCCGGCCCCAACAATGTGGTGGTCGTCTGCGAAGGAACTGGGCACCTGCAGAGTTGTTGACAGAAACCAAGCAAGAGGGGGGTCGGAGTAATGAACGGGGTGGCGCATGTGCATGTGGGGGGGGGTTAGGGGGGTCGTAGCCTTCCCTTCTTGTTTCTTCCTTTTTTTCCCATGTTCGCCGAAGGCGTTCACCAAATGAATACGCCCACCACCCCTTCGGCACAGCAAGGAAACAACATTCAGCCCCCTCCTCAGGAAATTGACAACACCAATGCTTTTCGACGTACGAAGGTTGTTGTTATTATGTCCACACAAAAGTACACGACAAAAATAAAAAAGTACATCCAGTAACTCCTCGTGCCAGTACTCATCAATAAGAATCCAACGCTTGACGTTGCGTAGCCACGGGCCTTCTCTCCTCGACAGAAAGGTGTGCCCATAATAAATGGATCCCAANAAAAAAAAAAGTCTATCCAGTAACTCCTCGTGCCACTACTCATCAGTAAGAATCCAACGCTTGACGTTGCGTAGCCACGGGCCTTCTCTCCTCGACAGAAAGGTGTGCCCATAATAAATGGATCCCAAGGGTCGGCAGAGCGATCAAGTCCAAGAAACAAGGAACAGAATCAACACTCGGCTTCCATCGACACGCTAGTCTATACGATTGCTGTACGCTAGCCAAAAAAAAACGCAAACAGAGGAAAAAAAAAAACAAACGTAACAAAACAAAAAAAAACGCAACTCCAACAGACGGGAACCGACCCTCCGGTACAAGGGAAGCAGACAAACGACTGACCAAAAGAGGCGGGGGTACATGCCGGAAAAGCCAAACAAAAACACTACAACTAGCGATTCCAAAAAAGAACAGTCCCCAACCCGCAATTCGGCGCCACCACAAAGCACTCTGGCCCGCACGATCAACACCACCGCAGCAGCAGTCCCGAGGAAAAAACAAAAGGGCCAGAACAAAATGGAGGTAAACACCTCACCTCGAAAATCTTATCCTTGAACGCCTCCCACAGCTCGAGATGAATATCCCGATTCGTCCCCGTCTGCTTGGCGTCGAGCTCCCTCCTGCTCAGCTGCGTCCTACTCTCGCAGAACCTCTTCCTGAACTGCTGGTGCATCAGTAGCTCACAGAAGCGAGGTACGCAGTGCTTGCTCTTCCTCCGTTGTCCGATGCTGCTGCTGTTGTCAGCCCCATTCTGCCTATCTTCCTCCTTCATCGCCTCCATGATGGCGGCAGCCGTGTACGACTTGTCGCCGCAGTCGTACATCTTCGTCGGCGCGGGGGAGGCGCCGGCGTTGATTGCAGCACGTAGCGCCGCAATGAGGTGCTGTGGAACTCGCTGCGCCTCCGCCGCCGAGGCTGGTGGCTTCGAGGGTGCCGTTCCGCCTGACAACATTGACAGCGCGAGTGAACGAGGATGGGCAGGGTCGTGCCGGCGAAGGTACGATCGAGGATTATTTTTTGGTAATCTAGTCGTGTTGACTATAATTGTCTGATACGAACTACAGAGGAAACCCAACGAAGTACAGTTAAAAAAAAAAGTCTATCCAGTAACTCCTCGTGCCACTACTCATCAGTAAGAACCCAACGCTTGACGTTGCGTAGCCACGGGCCTTCTCTCGTCGACAGAAAGGTGTGCCCATAAAAAATGGATCCCAAGGGTCGGCAGAGCGATCAAGTCCAAGAAACAAGGAACAGAATCAACACTCGGCTTCCATCGACACGCTAGTCTATACGATTGCTGTACGCTAGCCCAAAAAAAAACGCAAACAGAGGCAAAAAAAAAACAAACGGAACAAAACGAAAAAAAAAACGCAACTCCAACAGACGGGAACCGACCCTCCGGTACAAGGGAAGCAGACAAACGACTGACCAAAAGAGGCGGGGGTACATGCCGGAAAAGCCAAACAAAAACACTACAACTAGCGATTCCAAAAAAGAACAGTCCCCAACCCGCAATTCGGCGCCACCACAAAGCACTGTGGCCCGCACGATCAACACCACCGCAGCAGCAGTCCCGAGAAAAAAACAAAAGGGCCAGAACAAAATGGAGGTAAACACCTCACCTCGAAACTCTCATCCTTGAACGCCTCCCACAGCTCGAGATGAATATCCCGATTCGTCCCCGTCTGCTTGGCGTCGAGCTCCCTCCTGCTCAGCTGCGTCCTACTCTCGCAGAACCTCTTCCTGAACTGCTGGTGCATCAGTAGCTCACAGAAGCGAGGTACGCAGTGCTTGCTCTTCCTCCGTTGTCCGATGCTGCTGCTGTTGTCAGCCCCATTCTGCCTATCTTCCTCCTTCATCGCCTCCATGATGGCGGCAGCCGTGTACGACTTGTCGCCGCAGTCGTACATCTTCGTCGGCGCGGGGGAGGCGCCGGCGTTGATTGCAGCACGTAGCGCCGCAATGAGGTGCTGTGGAACTCGCTGCGCCTCCGCCGCCGAGGCTGGTGGCTTCGAGGGTGCCGTTCCGCCTGACAACATTGACAGCGCGAGTGAACGAGGATGGGCAGGGTCGTGCCGGCGAAGGTACGATCGCGAATTATTTTTTGGTAATCTAGTCGTGTTGACTATAACTGTCTGATACGAACTACAGAGGAAACCCAACGAAGTAGAGTATTGATTGTAATCGTACTGTGCCCAAAGAACACAGAAACGTGGGTACCGTGCGTCGCTCTCCTCTTTTACATTATTATGATGTGACACCTCAACATAGAGAACGGCGCGGCTCTTCATCAGCATGTTGGAGCTTCTTGTTCACACCTAAGCTACCTCACTTATACTCGCTGACTCGTCGTAGGTCGTACGGACGTACCTACACGTGCATGGATCAGAGTTGCAAGCATCGACGCCGGTCCTCCCTCTCACACCCACCCTCCAAAAGAAACGACTCCATCTGTCTGTTTACGGTTTTGTTCCCACCCCTCTGTCGAAGGCCCCTAGCATACTCACGCTTTTCAATGGTAAAAGTTGTCTACCATGCAAGTGAACAACTTAACTACCCAGGGAACTCCACAAGTGCCATAAAAGCATTGTTGTGCGAGAAGAGGCTCGTACCTACATCGCAACAGCAGTGTCGTAGTGTCTTCGTATGTATAACAAGTCTACACCCGAAAAAAAGGCGTGCGGAATATGTTCTCTGCTTCGTTGGTGTGCACCTACCTGTTGCCCTGTCTTCCAAATCATCGAAGTACGGGCTGTCCCTTTCCATGACCACGTCCAGCTGCGTCAGCGCCTTAGCCATGGCGGTCGTATCTGACGACCTCGAGTACCCGCTGATCTTCCGCAGTCCGCAGGCCTCCTTGAGCAGGTACGCCGCCCACTGGTCGTAGCTCCTGCCGCGGTGACGCTTCAGCGATTGTTGGAACTGTCTGAGCCTTTGCGCCCCCGCTTCGACGGGGGAGCTGCTGCGAGATCCGCTCGATCCGCTCGACCGGCCCGCACCCGCTCCGCCTGCTACCTTGCCGAGGACCCGACCCTGACGAGGGTTATGAAGACTAAATTCCTCGCTGTCGCTGTCTTCGTTGGTGCTGCCGCCATCGTCCTTGCCGCCGCCGCCCTCCACGTCGGCATCGCTTGCTGCTTTTTCTTCGGACCCGGTGTCGGAACAAAAACGGGAGTCAATCATGATGGCTTGCACTTCAGCATCGAGGTGCTGCTCCCCCTCCAGCGCCTTGCCTTTTCCCTTGCCCGACGAGGCACGGACGGTGGGCGCCACCCGACCGGAGCTGACAGCTCCGCCCTCGCTCTGGTTGTTGGTGGCGACAGCGACCCCCCTGGTCGAACGAGACGCGGTGAAGCCAGGGAGGAGACTCGCGGTGGGCGCCAGCCCACCGCCGCCTACAGCGGCGCCGAGAGACCCGTTGTTGTTGTATTTCGCCGGGGGTTTGGTCTGTCGACCACTGTGGGTTTTCGTGGGCTCCGCATTGGTCGCCATGGCTGGTGTTTTCCGCGTTGTGTAGGGTGTTGTGGGGGCGGTTTGGTGTTGAGTGCAGCTCCTCAGCACGGACGGCGTGCATTTTTGTATTTTTGAACACTTGCACGTCACAGCAGGTTTGAAATGAATCTTGGAGGTGTCCAAAGTTTCGATCCAAAGTTGTCCAAACTTTGGAGCCAAAGTTTTGAATCTTTGAGCGTGTTTAAAACGGCCCTAAGAGTCTTGCCGATACGGTGGTAGCAGCGCTTGGTGATTCTCTTCCCACGAAGAATTTGGGTGAGGTCAAGTTCTTTCTTGGTTGCGCGTATAGGCGCGACCGTGAGGCTGGCACCATTGAGATTTCTCAAGAGAGTTACATAAGGAGTGTCCTCGAGAGATTCAATGTCGTTCGCACCAGCTCGATCCCCGCTTCCCCCACTGTTGTCAACAGGTCCGTGATGGAGAATGAGGAGGCGGGAGATGTGCCGTTCCGTGAGGTGGTGGGATGCCTAATGTGGATCGCCAGCCAGACTAGACCCGACATCTCTAATGCTGTGCGGGCTGTGGCAAGACACTCCAACGAGCCGAAGTTAAGCCACTGGAAGGCAGCTCAGAAGATCCTGAATTATCTTCTGGGCACGGCACATCTTAGTCTAAACTTCAAGCGGGATAGTTCGGTAGACGTAGGGACTTTGGTGTACGTAGATGCCGACTTTGCCAGCAAGGCCACTNAGCCCACCGCCGCCTACAGCGGCGCCGAGAGACCCGTTGTTGTTGTATTTCGCCGGGGGTTTGGTCTGTCGACCACTGTGGGTTTTCGTGGGCTCCGCATTGGTCGCCATGGCTGGTGTTTTCCGCGTTGTGTAGGGTGTTGTGGGGGCGGTTTGGTGTTGAGTGCAGCTCCTCAGCACGGACGGCGTGCATTTTTGTATTTTTGAACACTTGCACGTCACAGCAGGTTTGAAATGAATCTTGGAGGTGTCCAAAGTTTCGATCCAAAGTTGTCCAAACTTTGGAGCCAAAGTTTTGAATCTTTGAGCGTGTTTAAAACGGCCCTAACTCCACATCGAGAGACTCCCACAGAATGACCAGGGTATCTGCTTGTAGCTACGGGCTGGCCCTTCAATTCAAGCTACACAGCAAGCTCCACCTCTCAGCAGTAGTCCAGCTGCAACGCATCGCGCAATCTCGCTCTCAATCAGATAATTCGCTCTCAATTCCGCCAATCAATATGTTGTGATGAATGACTTCCTCTAATCGTTACTTGGACGAGTTATCCTGAAGTTCATCTGCAGTCCCAACCACCGTAACACGTCTACACATTTTGACTGTGGTAATTGATGTCCCTGCTGGCTCAGTAGCCCCACCCCACGCAATAACTCATGGCTTCGTGCATCTGCTTCTCTTCCTCATCGTCTGATGAATTTTGATTCTCAGTGCATGATGAGTCGTCATAGTAGCGCAGCCCGTCCTCTTATTTTATGGGGAAGTAGGCGTCGTGGATGCGGTAATCCTTCGGGACCCAGTCTGACTGTCGGAACTCATCGATCCGCCTCTCCTCACGCCTTCCTGCACAAAAGGTGCATCGTCGTGATGCATCTTCCGCATCTTCCGGGAATGTTGACGTCGTTGACGGCGTCGACTATAACCGCGCCGTGATTTGTCGCATGGTAGCTTCTCGGTCAACTTCGCGACGAGTACTCAGTGCGGTAAAGTCCCGCAAGCTCGCCGGCCACACCACACATCTCAGACTAGCACTACCACCGCCGGTGAAGCTGGGTCCCAACTTGCTATCTCCGCCGTTGAAGCTGAATCCAAACACGATCTCTCTCAAGGTTCCAGGCCACTAGTTGTTGTCGATGCCCCGGTTGAACATATTACTTCCAAACTTGAGCACTTCCAAGGTTCGTGGCAGGGGGGTGACGTCGATTGGCTGGTCGAAATAGCCGTCTCCAAACTCACCAGTGAGAAAGTGTAACTCTCGTAGCGCGTTCGGCCACACAACACCATCCAGGGGTCTGCGTGAGCCAATCAGTGAGGAGGAGGAGGAGGGGGTGAAGTACAAAGGCGAGAGAAACGGGAGCAACAAAGCGAGCGACAGGCATTTTGTTTCGTACCGTGCATGCAAGACTTTTCGAAACCTCGCGTGGAACAAGTTGCATCGAGTGGATGGCCAGAACCAATTTCCACAAAGATGCGTATTCTTTTGCGGACGCTGGACAGTCTCATACGCGGAGAGGAGAGAAAGGTGGGGGCGGCAGGGCGGTAACATGCGAAGGGCGAACTGATGATGGCTGGGACGGAGGACCCTACGTTGTACTGCTTATCGCTACTGCGTGTAAGCGTGGATCTACCACTGGCATGACATCGACCTACTTGTTTCGAGTTTTGGTGCGCCATACTGGTTTACATAAAGAAAAAAAGTCGAAGACTAGTTCCCAAATCCAACCATTGCTCCTCTCGCCAACGTCATTTACCATACACGATGTAGTCTACTGACTTGCACCTTACGAATGCGCTGCCACCCTGTAACTGCTAGGTCTGTTCGTGTGTTTGGATGCAGACTGGTAGATCTGCCGACAACACGAAAACACACAGATGGGGGCATAGGTATATCATGACGGTTACAATGCGGTGGAACCTCTCGAGCTCTCTCAAGCTTATCGGGACCTCACTCTTCCTCCGCTCCCCTTTCCCTTGCTAAATACAAACGATAAAACAAATCTCCCCCTTCCAAGTAAAGGACATACAAACGTACGAATACGCTAGTGCACATCCCTCGAGGGAGTCCATTAGGAAATGGCGGACCGCGTAGCCGGGGAAAATATCCCTGGTGGAACGTCGGAGGGAGACCAGAGCTCGGCAGAGCTCACGAGCCTCAAAGCGGATATAGGCTCACTCGCAGAGCAGATCAGCAAGTTGATGGTACTGGTAGGCGAGCTAACACGGAAGGAGGAGCCCAGCGACGCCAGAGGGAGCGACGCTGGCCGCGGTGACGCTAGAGAGAGCGCCGCCGCGGCGTCTGCAGAAGTCCAAGAAGGGGCATCGCAGACTGGGAGCGCGCAGGACGACACGTACCTGCGCGAACGTTTCGGAGACTCTGGTCCGGAAGGACGACACAGCGGCGAAACAGGGGGCTATGTCCCCCAAGAGGTGAGAGTAGCCGCTGCTCACAATCCAGGTGGCTTTAGTAGCACCATAGGAGGTGGTGCTGCTGCTGGCTTTACCGGCGGCTTTGGTATTCCTGTCGGGAGTGCAGGGTACCAGAGCGTGAGGTACTCCTCACCCCCGTTTGACGGGAAAACAAAAACATTTAAATCATGGCTTCAGGATTTCGCCTGGTAGCAAATGGAGCAAACCTGTTGGACCACCTTCAGGAGGGGAGAGTGAAGATCCCCGTGAATAGCGGACGAAGCAAGTCGTCATTGTGCCAACAATANGTCGTTATTGTGCCAACAATACCCAGCCGAGCAAGTTGAGCTCGCGTTTCACGCGTGGAATTTTCTGAACCACGCTCTCATCAAAGAGGACGATAAAAAGACGATGAAAAGGGCAGAGACGCCCCAGGGAGCCATCCGGGATTTAAAAGGAAAGTACGACCCGAAATCAATAATGCAACCGGTTGACGACGTGGATGTGTTCATGACATTTACGGTCCCCACGAATAAGAACCCACAACTTGTTCTCCGTGACATGCTAGTAACTGGTGAACGACTTAACCAAGAAGGGCTAGGTATCAACGAAGGATTTGTT